TTCTTTGTCTTGACTCCAGCCCCTGACACGTAGTCGCATGTAATATAGTCCTTGCTGCCAAAGTCTGTTTAATTGAGCTGGAACATTTAGCACCCAATTTATAAAACAGCCAAAAAATTAATTAAAATTTTAAAAATCCAAAAAATCAAAAATATCAAAAATACAACAAAATACAACAAAATCAAAAAATTGAAAAAAATCCAAAATATATTTTAATCGCTCTTAACGTCAAGCGCAAAAGTTAAAAATTTTATTAAGCACTTGATAAATAATACTAATCTTAAAAATTTAAAAGAAGTGCCTCCTAGTGGCTCAAACAAAATTATTGAGTACAGATGGGACTTGTTTTTGACTGATACAGTTACTGCAATTGACTATGTTAAAAACCTTATAGGAAATAAGTACATAGTCATAGAGCAAGATAAAATTACAATAATAAATTACTTTAATTTTAGTAGTGTTAAAGATGCTAAAGAATTTTAAGCACTGCCATTGTATATAACAATAGACTAGTAGATCTCTATCAAACAGTAAATTTTGAGGAAGAAACAAGGATGATTAAATTGCAAGCTTTAAAAAATCAATACAATCAATTTATTTAACGAAATAAAAATTTATTTAATCCACACGGCACTATTGTAGAAGGCTAGTGTATTTAAACAAGCAATAGAAACGTAATATATCCGTTCGAACTAAACTTTCTGCTCAAAATTCTAAAATTTTTTGAAATTCCAAGCTTTTTAAAGCTTGATAACAAATTAATAGCCATGGATTATAAGGAATGTAATCCAAATGTAATTACTGTAAAAAAAAGGGCATGATTATCTGAATGCCCAGAAATAGCTAATAAAAATTCTACAAAAACTACAAAACAAAGATAATATACAAAAACAACACCAATTTGTCAATAAGCACAGAATTAAAAATCAAAAAATATTCAATAACTCTAAAAAAAATTTCACTGCTGCAGTACACAACAATGGCGCTAAAATTAAAAAAAAAATTGACTGCTAAAAATTTAGAGCAAAAAAATGGTTCAATTTTACAAAAATCCAACAAAATTGACTGTGATTTTAAAAATAAACCCATTAATAAGTCTGCAGAATTACCAAAAAAAGACTTAAAATTTTTTAGTTCAGTAACAGAAAATGACAACGTAACTGAAA